CAATGGCTTCCTGCTTCATCCAGGGGACTGGTCCAGACAGCATCGCCGTACGATGTGGATGTTGTAGCCCACGGCATCGTCTGAGCTCCTGGTGAAACGCAAGATTCAATTCCCCACTTCTTCCCATTCAGTCTGATCACTCCTTTGCTGGTGCTCCCCACATGGTTTATTGCCTGCAAAAATTTCCTTGACCTCTAAGATTGAGGCTATACAGCTATAGTCTCCTCCGATCCCATGGGTACAAAACCCCTCTGTCTGTCTTTGGCCACTGATTCTAGTTCTCCCACCTCTTAGGCTTTCAATTTTTCTGGCTACCCTCATGACCCACACCGAGGAGAGCTGAGACCTGGATACCCCCTAACAGCTTGCCAACCCTCTGGTTCCACTGGAGACCTTGAAGGTGCTTTCTGGTCTCAAATGGAAAGACTTTGCATTCTCCAGTAGGGAACTGGCCCTACCTTTGCCCCTCCGAACAGCCTGGCTATTTCCGAACAGGGAGCCCACCGCCCTTGCTGTTGAGACCGGATAATCCTTCCATTCCATCCTCAGCCAACGTCCAGCAATGATGTGGGCAGCGTTCTTTTGTTTTGTTTTGCACATCTGGCTGGGAAAGAGGCACTCCGGAGACCTGCTCTCGTCCCAGCCACGCTACTGATGAACAACATGTGCCATTTGGGGGGGGGGGGGCGATGCAAAGAGTTTTCTTCCTGGACAACTGGGTTGCTGGTGAACCTTTTCTGGTGGCTCAGCCCAGAGATGGGGGCGTTTACCAGAGGTCCCATCTCTGGTCCAATTCCCACTCCGCCCGATGAACTGAGCATGTGCTGAATCATAGGTTTGGCTTCCAGTCTACTTTTTAAAAATTCTTTGCCTGCTTTCCCCCTAACCACTCATTTCCTGTGTAGGCCTTCCTCGGGTTGACTGAAAAGTGGCTCCTCTGGTTTGTTCTGCATTTTCTTTGCATGTTTTGTTCTGCTTTATGGGGAAGCATCAAAGGTACTTTCAGAGATAAGAAACTGGCTTGCACCAGGCAGCCTTGCGGAGGAGGGAAGGAGGCTGTGAATAACTCTGGAAGCTTCAGGGCTTGGTGATGACTTAATTCCACCCTGTGCTAGAGTATATGTCAGAAATGGTTGGCTGCCTGTTGGCGTGACCATGTGCTCTTCTTCCTCACAGAGGCCAGTCCTCTGATTGAAGAATTCTGCAACTCAAGCCTGGTTGAAAGGCATGCGCCACCAGTTCAGTCTTCCCAACCATGGATGAGATGCATTTCTCTCTAAATTGGAGAAATGATCTCTAAATTTGCACCTATACATAAACATGTACACGGCATTAACATACGCAAATGTCATGCAAATTGCCACTCTTTCCTCATTGTCATTCGGGGTTTCATGTTTCATAATTTTGGACAATGAGTAAATAGGTGTTCAGTCTGCTCTGAGTCACTATGCAGAGGGGAAGATCATTTCCTGCCTTAACAACAGAAAAGGAAAAGGAGCCATGTTCCTGGACCAAAACAAAGTCCAGATGGGGCAGGGAACAGGTTCCGATGGGTTCATGATCTCCTGTGTTTCCTCGGATCTCTGGAAAACAGCCTGCACCCCACGGTGCCACAAGCTGTCCAGAAGGCAGGCTGTTTCTCTGTCTGATCACACCCACAGTCTGAAAGGAGCAAGGGGAAATGTTGTCTCTCTTTTACCAACAGAACTGAGAAGCCTTTCTTTCCTCTTTTCTTTTTCTGTCTAGAATCTAGAGTTGCCCAACACTGAGTCGGCCCATGATCTGGGGAAGATTTTTTTTGGAAAGTACAGGAAACAACAGAGATAATACTGTTGTACAGTTAAAGATTGTGATTGAATTAGCAGCTCAATGGCGAGTCAACGCTTGTATCAGTCCCATGGATTCAATGGGTCAACTCCAGTTGGATTGGCCAACTAAATCTAGGCTATCAATAAATTACAAGTAGTACTTATAAGTCACTATCGATGCTCAGTCTTTCCGTGCCTTTCTTTGGGCCAACAGAATGCCTGGATTTCAACGGTCCAATTGGGACACCTTTTAAAGATGTCAGCAGGAGAAAACTTGCATATTTTTACCACAAAGAATCTTCATTTTCTTTGATTCATCGAACAATAAGTTTTCTCCCCGAAAAAGGTTACCTTACAAAGTGCTTTTGAAAAATTATCCGGGAGGGGAACAGGTTAGGAGGTCCTAAAGATGTTGGGGGGGTGATTCTCTTGATTCCATTCACACCCCATCCTTCTGGATCAAAGCTCAGGGTTGCATTGATCCTCTTCACAGGCAATAAGGAAGCCCCTCTGGGTCTCCAGAGTCACTCCTCCAGGCCTCTGGATCGTGGGTTATGTCTTCGGATGTTCGCAGCTTGAAGCCAACACCCTGAGAAAAAAAAATTGCACCAAACAAAACTTTTTATGAGATGAATCAGACCTTGCGCTCCAAACAAGCCCAGGCAGCCCTTGTGAGATACGAAACTCAAGAGAGTAGAAAAGCTCTTTCCTTCTGGAAAAAAAAGGGCGTGAGGCTTCAAGGAATCAGAAAAATCAGGGATCCTAGTTTGCTTTTCTTTTGTTTTAAACTGCACGAGGGAGACTCCATCCTTAGGCCACCCAATCTTAAGCTTGTTTGCTCAGAAGACAGAGGGTCTTAAGACTTTGAAAAGATGGCAGCTTTATTTTGGAAAGAAAACCTCGTGCGGGCATCGGACGCTGTCCAAAGTTATTTCTTCCAGTGCAAATAAGCAGCCACCCTGACACCCGAGACATACCGGATCTTGGCTGATTCTGGAAGATAAGCAGAGTCATGCCAGGGGAGCGCTTGGAGGGGGAAATCTGCAGAGAAAATGGGGGGGTCTCCACAGAGAGGTGTGGGGGAGGGAAGAAAGAATCCTCCCTGGGACACCCTGGACAGCCCTGGGTCGACCAAGGATTTGGCTCAGGAGAAGGCATCTTCTGGGGTTCCTGTGATGCATATGCACTAACTCTCTCTGAAACATTTCAGAGGAAGTGGGGTGGGGTGGGGTGTCACCCCTCTGTGATTGTCTCTGGAGCTCCCAAAGGATCTGCCCCCTTTTTTAAAGCAAAGGTTTGGGTTTCCTCTGCAATTGGGTTGCCCTTCTAGTCTGGTCCAAGAGCCAAGCCTACCTGTTCTGAACCCCTGTTGGGGAGGACGTGACTAATTCACAAGTTCGCTTACATTTACAGATACACTCATTTAAGGTGCCTATATTTAGCTTTGAAAAGTATAGTCCTTACTGTAAAATCCAGGCCCTCGAAACTCCCCGAACAGGTCTTTGGTTGAGCAAAATCTGAGAGGAGACCATTCAAAGCCTTGCACGGCGACCTTTCTTCCCTTCCGTGGTTCCCGAAGCTATCAGCACGTTTTTACCTCTTAGCATAAAGGGAGCATCATATTCCTTACGTATATTCTGTGAATGGCAGAGGGGATAATTTAGCTGTTGTAAACAATTCTGAGCCCCTGCACTACGATCCATCATCTACGGAGTTTGGAATTTATTTTTATGTTTTCGGAAGAGCCCCAGCAACCTCCAGACTTTGCTCGGAGAGGCAGTAGGAATCCGCGAATGGTCCACCGTCATTCCTATGGGTCAGGACGGCTCAGTACCGGTCCTTCTCCACCAGATGAAGGACGGTAGCCTTGATCATGCAACTCTCTTGCGCCGTGCTTTGGCCATAGAAGAGAAGAACCGGATTCAACCATGAGGCTGGAATGAGATTAGAGAAGGTAGTGCTGGAGGAAGGAGGTGCCTTTGATCGATCCGGGAACAACAGCTCAAGGAGGCCAACCGCTGTTACTCAGAGCAGAAGCGATGGCTTTGAGCAAAGAAGGGATGATGATGGTATCATCCGTCTCTGGGAACTCGTGGCCTTGCTTCCCAGGTTGATTCAGCAATCTCTGGAGTTCCCCAGCCTGAGCATTTGATTCAGATCACCTTGGATCGAGCGGTGCCCTAATTATGCAGGAAGGGAGGTGTGCTGTAACCGATACTCAGCTCCAGACTATCTGGCAAAACGTGGAGCTATGAAAACAGATCTTATATAAGCAGGTGATATATTTATGGAGATCTATCTATCCCATCCCTAACCCTTAGTTTCTTGGACTTGGTGACAACGTGGTCTTGACACATTAAGAAGAAGATCCAGTACGTGTCTCCACTCAGTAGGAAGTCCCACTGATTTCAAAGAGGCTTAGTGCCCAGAGAAGGAAGTGTAGGAATCCAGCTGCTTTAATTTGACCTCAGAAGAGCTGGAGAGCCCAAAGAGGCAAAAATCCAGCTCAGCAATTAGCAGCTGATCTTCCCGAGGAGGAAAATAATGTTTGTAAAAAGCAAAGCACTCTCTGGGCAGTTTACAAGTTAATGATGCAGGCTACACGCTGTCCCCCTCCCAACGAGCTGGGTTTTCATTTTACCGACCTTGGAAGGATGAGTCAACCTGGAGCTGGCTACCTGGAATTGAACACCGCCTTTTCTGCAGCTCCTGACATAATAAATCAGTGTGTTTTTGTTTGGAGATAAAACAGAGGACTCCATTTGCATGTTGATGGTGGAGGTACAGCAGCTTTGAAGGAATGAGTCTTGGAAAGGATAATGTTTTATCACCTCATTGCAACAGTCATCTCTTGTACACAATATGGTCTTTTTATTTCTCAGGAGAAATATTCGGCACTGGAATGCCAGCAAATGTCTGAAAGGCTATCTCTCCTCATAGGAGCAAGCCCAATATTTGAAGAAAGCACTCTGACTATTATAATAATAGAACTACAGAGCTGGAAGGGACCCTACGGATCATCAAATCCAACCCCTGTCAAGGAGGCCCGGGGAGGGGGGAATCGAACTTTCTAGGAGTTGTCTCTCCTAGAAAAGAATAATCAGTTAAATCCAGCTGGTAGCTCGGACGGATCAGGCTGGCCAGTGTTCAGGGACCCCATTATAAAGCCATCATCCCCCCTTCTTTTTTCAGGCAACCTGCAGGCGACCCGTGCCTTGATGGTGGCCAGCATCCTCTTGGGCCTTATTGCGACCGGTGTTGCCATGATCGGGATGAAGTGCATGAAATGCATGGAGGATGATGAGGTCAAGAAGATGCGGATGGCAGTCCTTGGAGGCATCATCTTCCTCGTCTCAGGTGAGCAGTCTTTCTGGTGGAACTAAGATCTGTCGCTAGCAAGCACCTAGAATGTTTCGCTTCTGCTAGGAGACCCCGGTGGGGGGGGATCGCCCGGGATGGATGGAGGGGCCGGTCTAACCAGCTGGCTCACTTCCACCTCCAGCTAGCCAACCCTTGCCTCCCCTGTTGGTTTGCTAAAGTTACATTCTTTGGGTGACCATTCCAGGAAAATTGAGACCTTCCGAAGAAAAAAGGACCCAATGGTAAAAATATTTCAAATACAGTGGGGTCTTGACTTGAGAACTTAATCCGTATTGGAAGGCGGTTCTCAAGTCAAAAAGTCTGTAGGTCAAGTCTCCATTGACCTACAGTGCATTGAAAACCGATTAATCCCGTAACAGGCCGTTTTTGTTCCATTTTGGGTTTTTTCTTGTCTGTAAGTCAAATCTCAGTCTGCAAGTCAAACCTAAATTTTGCGGCCAGAGAAGTCTGTAACTCAAAAAGTCTGTAAGTCAAGCCGTCTGCAAGTCAAGGGTCCACTGTAAAATAAAATGAATCTATTTTATGCAAATCTGCCATGGGAAAGATAGGTGTGAGCTCTTTCAGGAGCTGGCCCAGGCTAAGGTTAGTTATGGACAGCGGACGAAGGGGCAGGAGGGTAGCATATAAAATCAGATGGACCCAGTGCTGGGTGAGTTCCAACTCCAGGAAGCCTTCAGAGGAGATGAGTCAAATTTTAAACAAGTCATGGGATCCTATCACCTGTTTTAACAACCACAGATACCGATTTTTCAAATCTGGGATACTTATGGTTTCTTTCTTTTCTTTTCCTCCTTTTCTGGGGGAGTTTTTCGTGGGTGTCTGTTGGGCTCCTGGATGGCCCCAGAAGCAGGAAATGGGCTCAATCTTGATTTGGGGGTAAAAGAAAAGGAGAAAAAGATGCCACCCCCCTACTCAGAGCTCCCTGCCCAAAAAACCTGGAAGAATCTCTGCCGGCCACAGCTCTGTTTCTGTAATGAGAAGACGGCTGGCCAGCACATTTGTTTTCTGGGTGATGTGCGGGAGAGGCGCACTGCCTCGGCTTTTCTTCCCAGAGAATCCATGGCTCCCCCTCGGGAGCGGTTGTTCCTTACCTGAGAGCCACCTTCATTCATAAATGAAGCACGCTCAGGAAGGAGGAGAGGAGGGTGTTGGTTCTACTTCTACACCCCTGCCATCTCGAGTTCCTTTGCCCCTCTGGGTGGAAGGAGGAGGGTTTGGAGAGAAGCTTTTCCTGGACCCACGGAGGCTCTCCACATGGGTTGGAAGAACCATGGAAAAAGAAGGTTGTAGGTCACATGAAAGATTCATGGAATCGTTGAATCATGGAGCTGGAAGGGGTCCTCTAAAGGCCATCGAGTCCAACCCCCTACTCAAGGCAGGAACCCAAATCCAAGCAGATCTGATTAAGGGTTGTAACATTTTCTCTTGAAGGCCTCCAGCGTTGGAGCGCTCACCCCGTCCGGAGACTGTCCACAGGGACACTCGACTCCAAAAGGACACCAGTTATTCATTCATTCATTCATTCATTCATTCATTCATTCATTCATTCATTCATTCATATACTGCCCTTCTGACCCATGGTCCCTCTGGGCAGTTCACAGCAATAACAGTGGCACAAAAGAAATGTGACAACATAATCAGTGCAATAAAATTAAACTAAGTGATCATAACGTGTAAAAAGACATTAAAACGGGTGGCAGTGAGCAGTGAGAGGCTGATCGCTCTCAGCAGCTCTTCTGTTGGCACATTTTGAAGAATCTATTGGAATAAAAATGTTTTAAGAGATTCCTTCCCAGAAGCCATGTATCACAAGGTGATGGAAATGACAATGGTAGGAGCAGGGTGGGGGGTGGTGTTTTTGCATTCTCCTGTGGTTTTCCCCACACATGTCAGTATTATTATTATTATTATTATTATTATTGAAGAATCGAATAAAAATGTTTTAAGAGATTCCTTCCCAGAAGCCATGTATCACAAGGTGATGGAAATGACAATGGTAGGAGCAGGGTGGGGGGTGGTGTTTTTGCATTCTCCTGTGGTGTGGTTT